AATAACAAAATTATAGTCCCAATGTCCTCAAATGAGGACTTTATCTTTACCGACAATGTACTTTGCTTCAGTTGTAATAAAATATATATACTGTATTTGCCTGCCTTATGAAAAGTTAAAGAGGCAACTGTGCATAAATATGCTGGTTTCAGGAGTGAAATGTATCTTTTTACCTTGGCCATTTTTCTTACCAGAGTTTTTGTAGAAGCTTTTTACTGGGACCACCATCATCTTGTTTTCATTCAAATGACCACTAGAGGGTGCTGGTAGTGTCTATTAATGAGGCCAATGGGTTAAAGTTGAAAAAAATGATGCATCATGGGTAGAGAGGCAAAAATGCAACGTTCTTAAATCAGGACRCAGGGTCTCAGGAGGTTAAAACTTTCCAGATGCTACCGGGGGCTTCTTTTTGGAAAACCAGGGTGTCCAACGACTTCCTCTGGTTCTTACCTTTAGCATGACACCTTACATAAAATAAAAAATGCCAAAAGGGTTGAAAGGAATTTCAGGGCAACTGTTAATGGGCTAAATATTAAGATTTCTTGGTAGTYTCCAGTTTGCCATCAAAACCTTTAGATTATGAGTCTGTTTGAAGCCTTGCTGGTCCACATGCTCTCTGTACGAAAGGCAAAAAAATAAACCAATAATCTCGTCCAGTTTTATTTTCCTACCTTGACCCGTCTGTCCCTCAGCAGCTGTCTCACAGCCTTCTCTGTGTCTCCTCTTGCTGCCAACCAGGCCAGCTTGGCCTCGGCCCGGGACAGCTTCGCTCCTCCTCCTCCTGCAGGGTTCTGCTCCGGTTCCACTCCATCTCGGTCCAYGTCGGCCGCCGTCCCGGCGTTCCCTGCTCTGCAGTTCAGCTGGACGGAGGCGGCCATGGCGCAGATCTCATCCAGCAGGTGAGGCAGCTCTGACGWCAGCCAGTCGCAGGGGTTGCTACCGCCACACATGCAGAGGGCTGCGTACACCTCCTCTGGGCTGATGCCTTGCTTTTCGGCCTCCTGACGACGAAACATGATGCATGTTGTCTTTAGAGCGATGTAAATAAATGGCTTTCACTCACCAATACAAAAGGGGTTGGTTAGGAGGAACAAATATTTATAAAAATACTTCTTTAAATTACTTTCAGAACAAAAGTACCAAACTTTTTTTTCAGCATTAACTTAAAGCCACAATGAGGTTCTCTCATGAGTCGGTTTCAGGCATTTCCTTTTAGATGACAATAATTAAGACGAGGCAGCCAGAAATATTTGCTCCATCTGAAGAAAACCTCTCCATCTTTTGGACTGTCTGGAGCAGATTGTGTTTCTGATGTCTGACTGCAGGGTGTGCTTCTGTCAAGCTCTCACTCTGATCTGATGGATGAGCTTGAGTCCATCGTCCCTCATCGTCTTCTGCCTCTTCAGGTCCAGGTTGACTCGGGGCTTCGGCTGAGGCCTCCCGCCCAGCTGAGGCTTGTCGTTAGCGACAGACGGCACCTGGTGGAGGGACTGAGGCAAAGAAACTCCAGACGACTCTTTACAAGACAGGCTGCARACCTCGCACACGGGGGAGGGCTGAGAGTTGACGTAGGTGCAGAACTGGCAGGTCCACTGTCAGACAAACATAACAGAGACATGAGAATGATCAAATACAGCTTCAAAGCTTTACTAATATTTTTATATACGTATATATATTTAACTAATAATA